TTCAGTGAGGAGTATAAGAGGTGGGGGATCAGAAACATATTATTCTGTAAGTTTTGATAGTAAAGAAATGTGACTGTCATTTAGTATATCTCAAGAACTGTTGTTTAAAACCAAACTTAGTTTGCTTTGATTCTGAACAAACTATAATTAATACTTCATTTGTCACTAAGAAGTGTTGAGAAGATGAAGGAAAAAATACTTAGTGATATTATGTAAATCTTAGATCAATAAAAAAATATCAAATTTTGACTTGTTATTTAAGGCTCTTAACATGTAAATATATATATATATCTGAATATGGGTACAGCACAGGACCTAGCTGGTGCTAGTAGGCTGTGGAGGGATCGTGAGGCTCCCCTCACCTTTCCATAGCCTTGGAGTGGCATCCTGGGCAAGTGCCAGCAACCTCGGAGCCCCCCAAATCAGGGATATGGTGAAACTGTTGGTAAGGCAGGATGGTGGGTTACCATGTCTGGTGGAAGCTTGGTTTAACTGAGTAAACAGCAGAGAAGGTATGATCTAGTTAGTTTTGAGCACTGCAACTCGCAGTATCAGTGCCATTAGCTACATACAGCTACTGGTCGAGAAGAAGCTCACTCTAACATAAAACCAGGATTGTTCTCCCATCAACCGTTATGCCCTAGCATTCTGTTGGACCTCATAAACTCAATCTGAGGGTACATCTACAATTCATGAATGTTCCTGCACTTTAAGCACCAGTAAATGCTGAGAATGAGGAGGAAATCTTGTGGCAATGGGTGGATGATGGTGGAGACAGGCTTCAGCAGCTGAGAGTTATTAGTTGGTCATCTACACGTAGGCATAAAAAACAGTCACTGCCTCTCGGAAACTGAACATAGCAAAATTACAGGATTCTGCTTGTAGGGAAACTCACGATCAAGATCTCTGAAAATTTTGAAACAAATAAATCCCAAACAGATCAATTGATCCCAATGCTATAGAACAATTATATATGACACAGCCACTGTAGAAATTGGCACAATAAGGGATATGCCAATTGGTTTGACAAAAATGATGATAACATCCAAAAATTGTTAAATGAGAAAAGGCAAGCTAGACAAGCCTTAATAGATGGTAGGCACACTCAACAAGCCACTAAGAGATGGAAAGCAGCTAAAACAAACCTCCAAGAACATCTGCACAAACTTCAAGATCTATGATGGCTACAAAAGGCAGAAGAGATATAGTCCTTAGCTGAAAAACATGATACAAAAGGGTTTTTGACAGTTTGAAGGTGGTATGTGGACCAAAGCATGGAGCAATTGTTCCACTTAAGAGTCTTGATGGTTCCCAAGTGTTTACAAACAACTCAGTGATTCATGGTGTAGTCCTGGACCAAATAGCTCAACTACCAATTGATCCAATGCTCAATGATCCACTGACTTTGGAAGAACTTGTGAAGGCAAATGAAAATGATTAAATCAGGAAAAGCACAAGGCTTGGATGTTCTCCCTGCTAAAATTCTGAAAAGTGGAGGACTAGTATTAAAACTAGAATTGCTGTACCTTTATGATCAATGTTGGTAGGCTGGAGAACTACCTCAGGAGTTCAAGGATGCCCTAATTGTAACAATCTATAAATGTAAAGGAGATTGGCATGACTGTGGAAATTACAGAGGTATTTTGCTCCTACCAGTCATAAGAAAAATTCTATGATAGTTACAGAATAACAATGTGGTTTATGAGCAAACAGAAGCATGACAATCTCTGAACGTATACTACAAGAATGCCAATGCAGTTTTGAGTGAACAGAAGCATCACCAATATGATCTTCTCCTTGCCACAAATACAGGAAAAATTTATCGAACAAAACATGCCACCGTATGCCGTATTTGTCAATTTCACCAAAGCTTTTGACAGTGTAGGGAGAGAAGCACTGTGGGCACTGCTCACTAAAGTTGACTGTCCACAGAAGTTTGTTGTAATTGTTTGCCAATTTCAAGATGGTATGAAAGGACAGGTATCATACAAGGGTGCCATATCGGAAGCCTTCCCAATAGTGCATGGTGTCAAACAAGGTTGTGTATAGGCTCCCACATTATTCACTCTGTTTCTAGTTGCTATTCTGGTTCATGCATCTACTAGCCTTGCTGAGGAAATTTATATCTGCACAAGAATCAATGGTGGTCTTTTCAATCTCACACTAAGACTATGGAAATCTGCATCAGAGAGTTGCTGTTTGCTGATTATGTAGCGTTTGTATGTAATTCAATAGATGATCTGTAGACCATTCTAGATCACTTTTCCAAAGCATCCACTGCTTTCAAGCTAACAATTAACACCAAAAAGACTGAAGTCAGCCATCGCCTAACTAATATTTTATTTTTCTCTACCATATCACTAACTGTACATACTATCATCAACATACAGTGCAATGAAAAGTTTAAAATTAAGTAATAGAAAAAATCTACATACCTTTTAATTTTTCATAGAACATCTTAAAAGATCTTCATTTGGTTATATTAATAATTTCAGGTCTATTCCTTTTCACATATAGTTAATTTTTAATGTTTTATTTTCCTTTTCTGTCCTTTACATTTTATTACTCATCTTGGCACAAGTCAACAGTGTCTCTGAGGTGTAACTATAATATCTTCAGCAAAGATGCACAAGCCTTTGACAAAATTATCTTCCCCTTGAGTAAGATCTTAAGCCTTGAGAACTGACATGAAGTATAAGTAAAAAAACGTTTAAACCTTTTAATTATTCATTTTAAACATAATTAATTAAGATATAAAAGAAAGACCTAAATACAATTTAACTGTCTCTCTAACTATAACATACTCAACTGAGAAAAACTGTTAATGCTATCGGGAACCATGCAGCCAACAATACAACAGGCAGTTACATGTACCAGATGACAGAATCTGCACACCAAATTCAAAATAACTTCACGTATATATTATAGTGTAAAATTACCTATTTCTAATGACTATATGTGTGAATAAGGCAAGTAAACATACTTAACTGTCTAGATATACATCTACAAGACTTGCATTATCAGAGTCAAAATGAAAACTGTAAAAGTTGAGATTTTTCATAGCTTGTGGGTTATGTGACAACACAAAACTGAAGTTTATGTATTTTTCTTTATAGAGTTATTTTAAATAAATTAAAACTTAGATAACATAAAACTTTGAATCATATCATAAATTATAATGTTAATTTAAATCACATACATTGACAGTAAAGCTGTTTATTTCAATCTTGAATGTAAACCAGTGACTTGTTTAAAGGGGTAACTATCACAAAAGGGTTAATAATTTTGTATAGAAATTATATATAAATTTTAAATTTGTCACCAGTGTTATAATAATCTAATTTCATGTGTAATAAAATACGATATTCTACCTTAGCTTTGGGTAATTTAACACACATTAAAATTCCAGGATGCAAGTCATTTCTGAAAGCTAGGTTATCACTGGTTAAGCTTATATTGATGAAATTCATGATTTTTTATCACTGATTTATTCAGATACATTAGCATTATAGAACAGATTAGAAATTGGGAATGTATGAATTTATCTTGAGTAAACAATGATAATTAATAGAGCTTGATGATTAGTGGAATTTACTTAGTGATTAATAGTCAGGTTCATTAATTCATTACATTCAACTAATCAATTATACACGTAAAAGACTTGGATAGTGGAATAATCAAAAATAGTAATAACTAGAAACACTAAAATTGATTAGTTGATTATTTTCACAAGTCCCAACACAAATCAGTTAAGCTGGACCACCTTGAATTAATTCAAAATGACAATTACAATATTTCTAGTACATGGATAATTGGAATAATCAAAACAGCAATAACAGAAACACTAATTTCAATTAACAGGGACTGCTTGTGGCTTCCCTAAAATCACATTTTGTGATTTTTTTTTTAACTTTTTTGGTGACTAAATCTAACATTTGGCAATTCCTTTTTGTACCAACACTTGATGAAAGTAAAACTTGAACATCGATTATATGTCACATTGTTTAT